GGAGAAATTTGCGAGGCTATTCTTTTGTTATGCGACTTTTTACGATATAGTTACATGACATTGTTTTGTTAACATGTAAATAGAGTTTTCTGCATAGAGGGAACTCCTCAGCGTATAACAGATCTTTAAGAATATGGTCTTCAGGGTACAGCTCGTACAACCCTTTCGTATTTATCTTTTAGTTAGGTGGCCTGTAAGTGAAAGGGAGAAGTAATCGAAAAACATATTCATCCACCATTACTCAAGTACTTGAAACTTGTATAGTATCTCTTGTTTTCAGGGTAATGTGACGGATTTGGCTTAAAAACTGGAAGGGGTGAACCAAGTTAAAAACTCCTGGGCAGTCACACAAAAGACGTTGAGTAAGGCGGGAATTCATCTCTTTAGATTTACACAATGTAACTACCGTATTTGACGGTGTATAAGACACACCCCAATTTCAGCAGGGAAAAATCACGAAAAATTATTGTTAAAATTAGTAAAATTATTATTAAATGGTACAGCCTAGGCAATATTTATGAGCTATTATTTTGGTTAAACAAACCATGATTACAATTAAACGCAAAATAATACGAAAAAAAAAACAATACGAGCCTATAAAAACTTTATTATAGCCAAAGGTTAGGAAACAAAATAAAAAATCAAGCAATTATTAGAATTGAGCAAAACACTACAATTACCATTAAAATGTTATTCATCTTCAAATCCATAAAATTCGTCGTCTTCGTTATCAAAACACTGATAATCATTTCCAATACTACTATCATCGTAGTTAAATAATGCGTAATCTTCCGTTCCATTGAGAGCACTGCTAATGTCACACTTTTTAAAAGATTTCACAATTTCTGGTCTAATATTGTCCCAAGCTTGCTTCACCCAATCGCAGATTTGTGCTTGCTTGGTCTTTGTATGCTTCCTGTAAGTATAAGGCCGTGATCAGGCATTGCTCCTTCAAACTAATAGGAGTTGCCAGGTAGCTAATTTCGGCCGACTATCACGAATTTAAAACCTACATATGTCATATAAGATGCAGAGGAATTTTAAAAGATATTTTTTGGTAAAAAAAGTGCGCCTTATATGCCGTCAAATACGGTAAATGTTGATAACTTTTGTAGTATTTTAATCATGACTTGCAAAAGTAGTACCATGTCTTTGAGACGTAGATATAGTTTTCTGAAAAATCAAAAATGATGATATTATATTCTTCCATTTATAATACATTAGCAGAAAA